GTGGCGAGTAGCAGACTTCCGTCGGCTCCCTCCTGAAGGATTAGACATCCTCACCGACATTATCAATGATACGTGTAGGCTGCAGCAGTTTCCAGCCCAGTGCCTAATCACTTTGGTAGCCCTGAAACCCAAGACAGAGGTCAGCGACCGCCCTATTACTTTGACGAACGCCCCGTACCGTGTCACCATGCGCCTATTCAAGGGCCAGATCTCCTCCTGGGAAGAGGCACGGGCAGGATTCTGGGACGCAGCTATCAAAGTCAGTGATTGTTTAAGGGCAGCCCTCATCAGCGAGCTTTTTGCAGAGATCCGCAGCTCTCTCAAGTGCTCCATCATCGAGGGCGTTTTAGACCTCGAAAAGTTTTTCGACACGATCCGCCAGCACAAACTGGCTGAGAAGGCCATCGCCCTAGGCTATCCAGTGGTCCCACTGGCACTGGGCATGATGGTCCACACCTGTACCAGAGTCCTCACGACACCGATTGGAGTCAGCGAGCCCCTCATCCCGATGGCCTCAATCCTCCAAGGGTGTGGACAAAGCGTTTCCTGGACAAGGGCCCTCCTGTACGACGTCCTCGAGAGAGCCCACTACCAGATCCCAAGGCCCACGATCCGAACTTGGGTGGACGACATCAGGGTCCGTCTTGTGGGGAGCCCAGAGGCCCTGAAAGAAGCCTTCCCAGAGCTCATCATACAGTTATGTGGAGGACTCGCTGACCTAGGATGCCGTCTCTCTGGTAAGTCTGCGGCCCCGGCCAGCTCCAACGACATCCGCACCGCGGTCGTCGACAAACTCAACCAGGCAGGGGTCCAGATCAGACCCGCCCAGCACGCTCGGGACCTGGGGGTCGAAAGGGGTCCTTGGAGTCCGCCGAACCCGTCGTCGTCTCGGAGTGCAGAGACACAAGAACATCAAGAAGCTGGCCAAGACTACAATCAAGGCGCGATTACTTTTCCGCACAGGCGCTCTACCGCAGCTGAAGTGGGGCATGGAGGGACACGGATCAGCACCGACTGAAGTCCAGTATTTCCGCCGATTGGCGGGAGCGGCACATGGAGTTTCCAAAGCAGGGGCCTGCCTTACCACTGGCCTCCATACCCGTCCAGGACACCCATCCAACATGGATCCAAGGATCTACCTTCGGGCCCAGCTGTTCACGATATGGTTTCGGGTTATCAATACCGAACTCAGCATCCTCGGAGGCACTCAGGAGGCTTGGGAGACTCTGAGGGAGAAGCTCAAGAGACCATCAAGGTGGCTCATGGTCAGGTCCCACATGTCCGCGATCATTGCCACCCTGTACGACCTAGGCTGGACCCCTACCTCGGCATGGATCTGGAGGGACCCCGAGGGCCTCGATTTCCCCGTCAAGCCGCTGAGCTGGGACCGCCAGAAGGTTTTCATGTTTCACTTGGAGTTCCTCTTGAACATGCATGTGTGGAAAGCTACCTACCCTCTCAGTCATAACTCTGGAGGCCTCCAGGAGGGGGGGGACGTGTACTCCCTGCGGCTCTACCCTGCCAGAAAGCGGGCCGCCATCAAGAAACGGGAGAAGCAGCTAATCGAGCACCCCCTCCCCCGAGCCCAACAAGTCCAGGCCCAGGAGGAACCCCAGCGAGAAGCAACTTTCCCAGCAGCTTTAGAGGCCGTTGCCTGCTCGAGGTGCTGGGGCGCCCACCGCAGGTTTGAGAGCGGCCAGCAGGATGACGCAGACTGTCCTCTCTGTGGGCAAGAACACGGAGATGATTTACACAAATTTTGGACGTGTCCTGAATAGGGAAGTCTCAACATCCCCGCCATCAATCGGACCCAGGGCTCCATAGATCGGGCAGTGGCAGAGTCCCCAACGAAACCCAGTCTCTGGCTCCGAGGAATCATCCCCGCCACGATCATTCGCCAAGTCCATGGACACATTCTGGGGCTAGATCAGGACACAGTCCGAGAAGGAGTATTTGAACAGCATGCAGTCCATCAGTTCGATGGCTGGCAAGTGGCAGCCACAGACGGCAGTGGAGGGCCTCATACGCAGGACCCGCGCATCAGAGTCTGTGGCTGGAGCGCATCCCTGTGGGCACACGACCTCACCTGGAAAGGGACCATCCAGGGAGGCATCATCGGCCCGCAGACGGTACCGCCGGCAGAGCTCGAGGCAGTCATTGCGCTGCTGGAGTCCACCCGCGGCCGCCTCATTATCGTGATTGACTGTGCCTATGTGATCAAGGGCTTCAACAGAGGCCCCCGCTTTCGGCACCCCAAGAACCAGTACACGTGGCAGAAGTTCTGGACCCAGGCCAAAAACCGACGGGACAACACGATCTTCTACAAAGAAAAAAGCCACCCCACGGAGGAAGAAGCCGCTCGAGAGCCTCCATGGGCCCTACACCTCAATGACCATGCCGACATTCTCGCTGCGGAAGCAGCACAGTGGCGTCAAGTCCCAGGGCCCCTCGTTCGACACCTCCAAGGCACCGACATTCACGCCGATCTCATCAGGGACAGATTGGCAGCAGTTCAGACTCACTACTGGAGTCACAAAGACCCACTGGGCCTCGAGGAGGATGAGGATGTCAAGGAGAACCATAGGAAAGTGAAGGTGGAGCGCAGTGTAGCAGCTTTGCAGGTCGAGCTGTCTAGGACGCCCCACTCCCTCTCCGCTGCCCCTATCCCTCCTCATTTCCAGATTGCCTGTCTCGCTTGCGGCAAGCAAGGTAGTGTCATCAAGGGAACACCCAGGTGGCTCAAGGCCCCCTGCGTCCCCCCAGGGCCGCAAAATCGGTTTCATCCCTCCCGCGGGCCGTTCATCAAGAAGTTGAATGGTGTCCTTTGGTGCTCCCGATGTGGAGCCTGGACCATCCGTGCAGCCAAGAAATTCAGGGAGCAGTGTGCACCACCAACAGAGGGTGGCATCAAGGCGCTCCAGAAGCTTACCCAGGCCACAAAGCCTGGCCCGATGGACCCACATGAGGTCCACTCATGCTGCTCCCACGCGGGGAGACCAGGACAGCTGCGGAGGCGCGAGCGCGGAGGAGGAGGAGGAGGAGGAGGAGGAGGGGGAGGGGCACCGACCCCCAAAAGTCGCGCCTTTCGCGCCGATCGTGGCCTGCGTGCCCCAACCTGCACCGGCTCTCCACTTGGGCCTCTGGGGGCCGTTCTCTGGCCCAGGGGGGGGGGGGGGGGCGTCGTCGAGCAAGCACCCAGGACGGCATATTGGCGGTGGATTTATTGTGGAATGTCTGTCCAGAGAGCACCTCTAGACTCTGGACCCCAGGGGGCAGCGTTTCGAGGAGCGTCTGTCGTGGACTGAACTTCGAGGGCGCGTGTGCTTTTTTATGGCGCCTTCTGTGGAAGCAGGAGGTCCGGATTATTAGGGCGGTTGCTTCAACTCGAAACTTGGGGGGTCAGGCTTATGAGCTGCCTTCGCGTGCTTTTTCTTCTTCGCTAAGTTCTGCGGATGTTCGTGCGGCTTCGGTTTCGTGGCCGTCCATGTGTGAGTCATTGTTTTCAGCAGCAGCAGCAGCATCATCATCGCCATCGTCATCGTCGTCGTCGTCGTCGTCATCAGACTCATCGCCATAATGATCATTCGCGTCGCCGTCGTTATCACCAACAAAAGTCATGATTACAAGTACCGCAGCCACCGTGAACATAATCACCATGACCCCCGCCACTACCCATCATCGCCACAACGCATCGCCCAACACATCAGTGTCGTTGTTGTTAGCCCGCATCGCTGCTTCTCATTCTCATTGTTGTCTCCAGGCCTTGCGTAACTGTAATTACATCAGTTCTTATGATGCTGGCCGTTGGAATCAGACCCCGATCGTCCCTTGCCACAGTTTTCGTAACAGTGGCTTCGTTTGGAAAAGGTGTTGTTTATCAACCTCCGCGTTCGCAGCGCCATCCGTCGCCGTCGCGTTCACCCTCGCTGCCTACATCATGAAATACTCATGCAATATCAAGAAGGGGGGTCCAGAATAGTAAGGCTGCTGCAATTCAGGGAGGGTCCGTTTTTTTTGGGGGGGAGGGGACATTTATTGAGGAATAAGGCTTGCCCTCGTCGCCACGGCTGGATCCACCTCTGAATCCTGGGCAGAACGCAGCCCTGGACAGGTCCCTGGGGGGGACGTTTGACCTTCAGACCCAGACCGATTCGCGTCGTGAACATAATTACTCCAGAACGTTTTCGCCTCACCCCCCCTTTTTAGGGCTCATATCATTTCCTCCGATTCGGTGCGATTTGATTTCGATGGCTTCCGATTCCGATTTGATTCGACTTCGGATTCCGATTTGGGCTCCGATTTCTCAATGGAGGCCTTCTAGCCTGCCCATTTCCGCCGATTCGACTTTTCCCGGCTCGTCTACCGATTTTCTCCGATCCGATTTGTTTCGATTGCCATTCCGACTTATCGATTCGATGCTGGACTCTCCTGCTTTGTCCCAGGACCGTCGAGAAGGGACTCTGGATGAGAAATCGGGGCCGTGAACTCGGAGAGCCCAAGCTGCGAGCAAAAGTGACGGCGTGGGGAGGTCGGTGGTGGTCGGAGGATCGCGCCGCTTGGCCGACGCACCCGCGATTTGGCGCATCGATTTCAGGTTGACGTTCTCCATCCCCCTTAGCGTCCGATGTCTTGAGCTGTTCCATGCGGGCCCCCCCGAAGTCCTGGCTCCCCCAGTAGGGGGCCACATGCCAACCCTATAGCCCTACCCCCCACGTTTTCTGAGGGGGAGGGTGGGGTTCACTTCGTTCGGGAGCTCCCGAGCGAAGTGAACCCCACCCTGGCCTTCTGGGAAGCCGTCTCTGTCTCCGGAGGAGGCTCACAGACAGCTTCTCAAAAGGCCAGCGACCTTCCGAGCCTTCTGAGAGCACCCGCCCCTTCTGCATTCCCCCCCTGGACCCGCCGCCGAGCAGACGCGGTCGCATCGCCGAAGCACCGGCGATGCGGTGCGACGATCCTCTGGCCGGTCCTGTCTGCTCCTGCCCCATCCGAGTGGCCTCCAGGTGGCGGACTTCCTGCGGGCGCGGCGGGAGGGCATGCCGATGCACAAGGCCCGGCGAGGACGTGCGACGTGGGCGACGAGGACGACGAGGACCACAAGGGCACCGACTAGGACGACGGGGACGACGACGACGAAGACGACGACGAGGACGACGACGAGGGCACCGGCGAGGACGACGACGACGAGGAGGAGGACGACGAGGACAATAATGACTGCGTCGAAGTTGTGTTACGGTTGCAACCTGGGGGCTTTTGGATAGCGTGTCATTCTGCCGGTTTTGACCACCACGTTTCGGCGCGACACGCGATCCACTTCCTGGCCCTAGCGTCAACTTCCCGAGCTTTCCCAAGTTCTCCGCCCCGCGTAGCGGAGCGACGCGCTATCAGCTTGCAAGGGATGGCGTGTTGCCAGGGCCACCGCCACGACACGCTAAGGCAAAGTTCTTGACCCTACGACGACGACGTCTTTGCCCGGGAGTTTCGTTGTGGCGTTTTCGAAGGTTCTCGTGGCCGCGGCCAGGCATGGTTCGGGAAAGTGGCCAGAGCCAGCTACGGGAGGGCTCAGGGCGCTGTATCGGAGTTTTTTTTTCAAGGACGTGCTGCTTGCCAGCGCCATTTGATTGGGAGGGTCTGGCGCCGATCCGTGAAATCCTTTATGGACCTCCGCGAGTGTATGTCTGTCCAGATTGTTGCTCATCTATTTTTGCACGTTTCGAGATCCATCGACGGAGATCGAGGACGGAGGGTGTTCTGCCGGCGAAAGATCGAGGATCGAGCCGTGTGGGGTAGGAGGTAGGACAGGGGCGAATCGTTCCAGAGCCTTCTGGAACGCTCTGAGCAGGCCGCGGCGCCCGATACGTATCCTCCTGAACCGCTTGGTCTCTGAGATCCCCGACCTACAGTCGGGGCGCTGAAGAAGGAACCCTTTTCGTTTGGGAGGGGCTCCGTGTTCTTTAGTTGTTTTACAGTGACCCTCGGGTTTTCCTGAGGGCTTCCATGGACAATCGAAACTCAGCTTATGGGAGAAAGGGGCCCCGCTCCTTCTTTAGGGTTCCTTGGGTCAACGCCCCTACTCTATCCGTCTCCGATGTCGCCCCTGCCCCCCGCCTCGCCCCCTGGCTTCCAACGAAGGATTGCAAAAAAAAATCCTGGCGAAGGACCCAACCATATGCAGTTGTGAGTATCGCAATTGTGAGTATCTTTTTCGGTGGCGCTCCCTATGGGGCCACGAACCGCATGAGGGGTGTGCCGAAATGTGGCGGGGTACACAACGCAAAGGAATACGATAGATCTGGTTACGAGAGAAAGAACGCGGGTGAGTCAGAGCGCGAGGGAATCTGAGTATGAATGGGTCTGCGCGCGAGTGAATATATTTGCATGAATGCGATCATGGAAACGCCTAGTGTAAGTGTATATGAATGTGAATGGTTCGAGCATGCCTGTCCGAACACACGTGACACTGGGCGTGGCCGCCGCAGGCAGCTTCCGCGGGAACCCCGACGGCAGCGTCCGCACGTCGCGACGCCCATGTCGGCACGCCTCTTGCGAGGATCGCGCCCGCTTTCGGCTCTTCTTTTCCTTCCTCTTTGCCCGCGCACTCCAAAATCCAAGGCTGCGGGCGCAGCGCAGCGCGGAGTCCCCGCGACGCGCGCTGGTCGCCCCGGGCGGGGTCCCAGCGACGCGCGCGGGTCGTCCGCTGCGCGAAGCAGAGAGAGCTGACTAGCTAACTGGCTGGCTGATAGCGGGCAAGTCTCTGACCGCTGGGCAGAGCGACGACGGGCGAACGAGGCGCCGGGCCCCCCGCAGCACGGAGTTCCCGCGACGCGCGCTGGTCGCCCCGAGAGGGTCCCAGCGACGCGCGCGGGTCGTCCGCGGCGCGAGGCCAAACAATTAGTCGGGCAGTCGAGAGAAGGCGCGGCTCGGGGGAGACGCTCCTCAGGTCAGGCCTCGCGGATGAACCCGGTGAAGCCGAGCTCCCTGGCGAGGGCCGTCGCTTCCCTCCTGCACCGCTTCGTGCGCGCCGCAAACTGCTCCAGCTGCTTCCGCAAGCCCTGCGACGTTCCGAAACGTGTGAGGGTGTGCCGACATGGGTGGGGGTGACGCATGCGGGCGGCGGCAGTGGGGCCTTCGGTGGAGCTCCCTATGAAGCCACGAAACCTGTGAGGGGTGTGCCGAAGTGGGTGGGGGTGACGCATGCGGGCGGCGGCACTGGGGCCTTCGGTGGAGCTCACTATGGGGCCACGAATCGTGTGAGGGGTGTGCCGAAATGGGTGGGGGTGACGCATGCGGGCGGCGGCACGGAGGCCTTCGGTGGAGCTCCCTATGGGGCCACGAAACGTGTGAGGGGTGTGCCGAAATGTGTGTGGGTGACGCATGCGGCCGCGGGCACTGGGGCCTTCGGTGGAGCTCCCTATGGGGCCACGAAACGTGTGAGGGGTTGGCCGAAGTGGATGGGGGTGACGCATGCGGCCGCGGGCACTGGGGCCTTCGGTGGAGCTCCCT